ATAGTTCTATTGTGAATTTCAACCTAATATTTTAGGGACATATTTTTAAGACCTCAAACATTACAAAAATGCAAAAAAAATCGATTTTTTGAACTCGTCACAGTGGTGTTCCCCCTTAAGGGTGGCGAGTTTTAAAATAAATAAATACGTGCTGCATCGTTCGTGTCGCGGCACGTAACAGGAGACGGTGGAAATAGTCTAAAAGGCTTGCGGGGATGCAAACTTGACTCGCTCAAACGTTTTTCAGTGGCATGCGCGGTTACGAGAGGGAGAGAGAGTCGGTGAAAGTTGACGAACGCAGCGGTCGCCCAGCAACAACTCGAACCCGGTAACAACGTGGCGGTCGTTGTCGTTGCAAAACTTATCAACGAGCACCGGACAGGTGACGTCTCGAATATTATATATAAAGGTGTTTTAGCCTAATTTCACACAATTTTCAACGCGTTTGTCCCGTTTTTCTGTTTTGCACTTGCCATTTTTTTTTTCTGCACGGTAATGAGCTTCGATTCATTCGACAGCAATTATTCATCAGTTTTTGGCGCAAAAACAAGTTGTGACATTGTACTTTGTCTCGTCAGACTTGTCTCCCTCCAATTATTTTTTGTTTCCCAAACTGAAATTGCAACTTAAAAGAGACCCAATTTAACGCCATTGATGACATTCAAAGAGCTACGACGAAACGTTTGAAGGCGGTTCCTTCGAAAGACTATATCAATGCAGATTCGGCGACAAAAGACAGCTTATTTAGCGTTTAGTCGCTTGGCGCGCGAACGTAATATAAAAATACATTTTAAAAAATCATAAGTTTTGTCTAAAACATTTTTTTTATATCTTATTGTTTTATTGATAATATAATTGCTTGAAACCGAATATAAGCGTTACTTTTGCGAAGAGTTGTTTTTAGTGGAGGTTTTAATATAGGGGAGAGTCACGAAAGAGCCAATTTTTCTTAAGAGATGGAAAAATATATTTAATCTGATATTAATAAAATAAAATTGCTTTGCAACATAACAGTAGATATTTGTCTACAAGATTCAATTGATAAAAAAATATATTAAATCTTTAATAGGTTCTACTAATCTTTTTTTGAACCTCTTCAGCTCTTTCAAAACAAGGTAGCTTTGAAAAAGCCATTACCTTGTTTTGAAAGAGCCGAATACTAAGGTTAAGGCAAATGACATAAATAAAATAAAATGTGATTTCTTTTAACAAAAATTATCTTTTTAAAGAATAATAAGAATAATATTTAGAATTTAAAGAATAATAATCTGAAATAGAGAAAATATAACCTTTAAATTAAAAACACTTATTACAAAAAAAAGTGAATATTTCTCTTCTTTCCACATGAATTATGAGCCCAGTCAGTGCACAACTTGCACTGATACCAGTCTTCCCTAGTACAATAATTTTTTAACTAGATATGCTATTAAATAAAAATATTTTAAAATTTTTAGCTACATTCAGTTAGTTGAAATAGAAAATGACTCTTTTAAAACATGACTCTTTCATGCCCACTCTTCCCTAAGTATTTTATTTTAATGAGTTTTGTGGAAAAATAAACTTTTGTCCCCTTTACTCCTCTAAATAAAATTCTGGACTTTTATTATATGTTTAATCTTCTGCCAAGAAAAAATTAATTTATTATATGCTTTTTTTATGACAGTGCAAAATGATTTAAGCAACCATCCCTAAAATTGTATCTACTTCCAAAAATGTGAAATCTTTAAAAATAATAAATTTGCAAATGGCAATACTAAAAAAATATATTTGAGAAAGTTTATATTTATTTTCAATAAATAAGAAAATATCCAATATATAATAAAAATACAATTAATGATAAGATTCAAGAACTCATATTTAACGTATTTAATGCCACACTTTTAGTTTACCACATATTAGGTAAATTTAATTTATAATTTAATTTATAATTTTAATTAAATTATAATTTATAATTTAATTTATAATTTTATGCCTACACAAATAATTACTTTATCATAAAATAATAAATAATTAAGTACAAATTAGGTGCAACATAGCCAATACAATTTAGAAAACCTTGTTATGATACGAAAATAAGGAAAATA